TGCTGTCTGGCAGATCTGAAGCGGAACCAATTCGACCGGCGTCGGATCGTGACGTGTTTGGATCGACAGCTGCACGAAATAGCTAAACCAGGCGAAACACAATTTTTAAGGAATTTGGTCTAATTTTTAAAAAATATACAGTACACATAAACGATTAAGAGAAAGCAAACATTATTCTTACGAATAGCCCTACTGGTAAACATCAGTTAATTGGTCGACTGTTTTAGCGGTAGGATCACTCATTTTAGAATCACTCGTTTTAACAATGGGTTGTCACAATTCGTTCCAGTGTAAATGTGAATAATGCTAACTGTTGAAACAGATTAGGTATGCGGTTTTATCATACAGGACTCAAGTAGGCGAACTCGTTATTGAATCTGTAAAACAATCATTCGAATTGATACAAACATAGTTCACACACACACACACACACACACGTGGTCCCATTCAGTGTGAACACATCGCCGCAAGTCTTCCGGCTTCTTCCAATCTCTCTTTCTCTCCGTGAAAATGCCCTGATTCAGGTAGAGGTAGTGTTATAATTTCAGAAGACCGGTGATGGTTCGAGCAGAATAGTTTATTACGAACCGGAAGTAGGGTATGGATAATTTGTCGTACATATAACAAGATATCTCATGTTGAATCTGTGCTCACGATTCCCAGCAGCACACAAGATAATGGATGGAACAGTCCGTAGTTATCATTTTGATCACACAAAATCGCTCCAAGACATATCGTTCATTTTTGACAGTTGAAAAAAATCGTCAACCATATTCTTCTCTTGCGTACTACTCACAAATGTGAGTAGTGTCTCATAACACCGATATCCCGATGATTAGAAACACTGTTCCCTTTAACCAGCAAATCAGAACACATATCATACTGGTACACACGTATGGTAGAGGGCACAAAAGGCAGAGCTACGGAAGATAGACCGTACGCCTGCGGGAATCCGAACTTTTGCACAGACCGAGTGTTTCAAATGAGAGCAGCCGGTCGTGACCAGCCAATTACAACAGAATGCGGATGCACCAATCACACTGATAAACGGTGGTCCCAGCCACGCACGTGAAGTTCGATATGTCGGCGAAAAACTAAGCAGTTCAGCGAAATGTTACAGATAGTCAAACTGAGCTTTCTGTCAACGAAAAGCACTGAACGTTGCAGGTAGCAATTGACAGCTGTAAAGAAGAAGAGCTAATCGAAGATGTCTGAGGGAGATTGAATACTTGCGTCATACCACTATCTAAAATGTGGTGGCTACTGCATTTCGGCGTGATAGTTATACGGTGAGCCAGTGCCAAATGAAGAGATGATTCAACAGTACCACACACAAGTGAGAAGTCAGTGTATCTATGGAGTGAAGTGATTTAGGTGTCTATCGTGCATGAAGTTGGATTTGAATCGAAAAAAAACAGTGTATTTCGGTTTGATAATCTGTTAACATACGTTAACAGTTTTGTACAATCCCAGCTGCTCAACTCGGACTTACTGCCTCTAAACGTGGAACTGATCTGGACAAACGTAAACATGATTGGTAAACCTATTCCGTTTCACACACTGTATACCAGTTTATCTGCAGTTGCGGTGACGCATACACAGGCAGAACAAACAGTCAACTTTCACAACGGACGGCCGAACGATATACCAAAGTGGTTGATGAAATCGATGACGACGATAATTGATGGCCAAGTGATTACAAGAAATCCAGGATCATCTGTTGCAAAACATCTCATGACAACAAGACACACAGCTAGATCCGATTGGTCTTTCGAAGCACTGCTACGTAATCGCGATGCCAAATTCTTGGAAATTAGTGAAGCACTGCTTATGTGAGTACTTCACCCGACCTTGTGTGCACAAAAGTTTTTGGTAAAAATTATATATATAGATATATATATATATATATAGCTGTTCGTTTTAAATCAGCGATTGAGAAAATTAAACGAAATGTCAACATCTCGCAACATTTGTTTTCTTTCTGTATTGAAGAATTCATCAAAAACATATATTCGCCTACATTGTGTGTTCTTAAAGTTGCAGAGTTCTTTTCAATTATAAACCACAGTGTGATGAACCCCGTGGTCTCGCAAATCGATCGTGCGGTTACGGAAACAGATAA